GGATCACTCTTGTTTTCTCATACATTTTCCCCGCTTTCTTCTTACTTTTTGTCACGTATTTTCTTGTTGCGTCGGCAAACTTTTGCATAGCAGCTTCTGGCAGGTCACCTAAAAGAAATAAAAAATGTATGGAAGTATTACTAAGCAAATGAAGTTTACATTGAACTTATCTGAAAACTTTATCAATTATCAAGTATTAATTAAAATTGATTGATTTATTTAAGTATATTATCAGTCGTTTTTAGTCATTTAAACATAGATGTCCAAGTCAATTCTAAAATAATAACTTACGAAGGCCAAGAAATGAGAACGCCTGTCGAAGATGAACTTTTGTTTTGTTAGAATAGTCTTCAGTCTTCATGATGAGAAATTGTTCCCTTGGGAAAACCTGTAACCAGTCTTTAAGAAATATGGAATAAAAACCCAGATGGATTCGTGCCTGAAAAAGATTTGGTCACATTGTAAAAAAAACCACCAAGGGATGTAAAACAATATTTAATTTCCAATTAAAACAGAAAGTTAAAACAAGACAATTCGAGCATTAATTTCATTAAGAAAGTGGTCAGTCTGTTTTGGTTTCTATTCTTTTTTTCCTTTTTTGTTTGTTTTGGTTTGGTATTTTTAGGCTTGTCTGAACTAAAATATTTGGTGGTATTGCTAGTTTACCATCCAGTTCACGACATTATGTCACATTGACATCCATCGCACAGTTCAGCCACTGCATCGTTCCTGGGTAGGTTGTCAAGCAGTTTAATTTGGCAACAAACTGATAACGTCTGTACATGCCAGAGCAGAGGTAAAGTACGAATGACCGTAGAAAGGATTTCATGATCAATCACAACGAAAGGGATGTGTACCGTCCGGGAATCGAACCCGGGTCGCCCAATTTACTGTCAAACGCTCTACCTATTGAGGTAACAAGTAGTGTTAAATTCAAATTATCATCGTAGGACATACAGCACATTAAATTTTGCTTTCAAGCTTACCTTTGATCGCACGTGTAAGGATCTACTGTATAGACACGCTCTGAGCGAATATTTTCTCGTGCATGAGTGTAGTGATGTAATGGATTTAATAACTTCTTCGTGGAATGCACGTAAAGACTGTCTGCCAATTTTAAGGAATAAATAGTCGCTGAATAATCTAAAGAAAATAAAACAAAGTGAAGTTTAACTATGTACAAATAGAGTAACTATAAGAGAACCTGACATTTCGGATCGTTTCATGACTAAATATACTCTAGAACAGAAACATGTGACAATATGAAATAAAATGTGCAATTAATATCAGTCATGTATGATAAATATCTGATTTTTATTTTCTATGACAAAAAAGTAAGTAAAAATCCAAATACAAACAAGTGGTTGCTCTTCCTTAGTAAATTAATTTAAATTATACAACCTCGTGTGCTGCAATATGAATAGGAATTACTTTAGAAACAAAACCTATACTTAATCTGTTTTATCTAATGTATCCGTCATAAATCAAGCAATAACAAGCATACCTTTCTACAGGATTTCGGAGAATGACGAGAAGTTTAACATTAGGGTTCATGTGCTTCATTAGATGCGGTGTAAGGACTTTTGGTTCTTTCAGGCCGCTGTTTTGGGGAATTTTCACCCATCCACTCATATCCCAGATGTCCATAGGAGTGCCGTCTCCTTAAATAGGATACATTCTTTATTAATGCACACTGTCGACTGAGACAAAATTCTTACTTAGTTTATTCATCTAAACTAACTTCAACTTCATTAACCTTTTACAAAATGTATGTCAATTGATGAAATGAATTAATATAAGAAGAATGAAAACTGGAATTAATGAATGGATACAATTAATAAAATTTACAAACTTTAAACTGCAGGGAACCTCAACTAAATGATCAGGCAATAATGATAAACTGAAGCGCATGGCTCATTGTTTTAGTATGATGGGAAAATATTTAAAAATAGTGTAGTATTTATTTGTTTAATTTCAAGAATTTATTAAATGAATGCCACAGACCTGTAATAATTCCTGCTCTTGGTTGTAGCATAATTGTTTTAGCTGGGATGTCAAAATACTTCACGTACTGAGAAAACGGTTGTATCTTTTTGCGATTCTTTAACCAATGTCCTAAAAAGTAAAATCCCAATATTTTATTTTATATTATCAATCTGCTTTATCATAAATTGAGCGTAAATGTATATTTTCAGACACAGTGTATTACTTTTTATCGTCTGCATGAACAGGAACTGTAAGCATGTAGTTTTATTGTCATATTAATGGTAAAATCTATTCATGTGAATTCCGTCCAGTGGTTTTATTTGACGTCCTTCCGGAAATATATTCAAATTAGTTCCTGCTTTACTCACCACTGTGCCAACATAACTAAGTTCAGCATAAATGTATGATAAATGTTCTGCTTACTTACGCAATTGTTAACTAATATTCAATGAAGTAATCTTTGTTACATCAAAATAAATAAAATATTCACTTTACCATATCTTAACCATGACCACCACATTGTCTCCTTCCCTAACACACCATTATTTTTCAGTACATCCGGGTGTTTAGCGATCCTGTCGAACAGATCTGTTGAGCCGCATTTATCCATTCCTATTACCTGAAAGTATGGCAAACACTGGAACCTGCCCTCGGACGAATTCCAACAAGGGTTTTTATAACTTGGTAAAAATTTGGGTGGTTTCTGAAAAGAGAAGCAAAAAGTTTTAATGTCCTGACAAAATATTCCGTCTTTTTCTAATTTATCAAAGGCGACGTTTATTTACTTTTAGTAAGTATGATAAATACTTATGAATAGGGTATATACAGAAATAACACGGAAATATCATAAAATTTAAGGGCTTTTTATTTCCTGAAAAAGTAATCTTTAGGAAATAATTGAAACAGACAAAAGTATTTAAACATCACTCAATGGGAACTTTTTTGTGGCTTTAAAGCAGCATGCCTCTAGATTCACGTTGATTTCATAAATTTTAATTAAAATGTTTTTTTAAGTAAAATACTGTGAAGTGAACAAAGAAAGTAATTTACACATTGCAAACGGCACTTACAAGCCCGTAAATTACCAAAAGGAGGTCAAAATATAGAACAGAACAGAAAGTTTATTTTGACGTATACAAAGTACATAGTCAATTACATTAATACATTCATTCATACATACATATATACAATCACAAAATCAATGGATAGTCTGCAAATTTCTTGAAGGTGAACAGTTTAATCTATTTTGTTTCCTTCAGTATAGGATTTGACATAATCAGTTTAACATATATTACATAGTTTAATATTGTGTTACGAACCTGTTGACAAAGATAGCGTGAATTTCACATACATTATTGTGCCACTTGCAATAAAGTTATCTATATATATACGTAATCAACACCAGATACAAGTGAATTACCAACTATAGTATCACACTATATACTATATTGAAAGGGAAATAGTACTCCAAAACTACAGTTAACCTTAAACGAAACGAAAGGAAGGTTAACAATTGGCTATTCCAAAAATATTTCAATTGCAAAGTTGTAATTTAAGAAAAAGCTTACGACTAACTTTGGGTCATATGACAAATAATCTACTTAATACATTTCTTAACTGTGCACAGTCATAAGACATATAACTAATAATCTATTTAATTAGAACTGTACGGTTGACCAGAAACATCCATATAAAGTTTGCTATCTTTTGTTTGGCTTACTTATAATATATTTTCATAACTAAATATAACTCATCATCTATTAAATTAGAACTGTACGGTTGACCAGAAACATCCATATAAACACTATTAAGCGTATAATAAATAACATCTTATTTACAACATCAAACTATAAACATACATATATACAAACTAACACAGTCTGGTTGACCAAAGCAACCATATAAACACTAACCGGCATATAATAAATAGCACGTTCAATATTTCAAGACAATTTTTCACTAATTCGTAATATTAATAATCGAATTTCTTACAGACATTGCGTTTTTACAGTATAACCCTAATTTATAAAGAGCAGTCTTATTTTCTGTTTTGTAACAATTCTAAAAACTTATATACACTTGGTTTGATATAATAAATATTTTGCTATAAATTTTTTACGTAAATCTGAATAGATAGGGCATATATAATAACAAAGTGGTATTCATCTTCTAAATCTAGTGAATGGCAACATTGACAATATCTTTCGTTTCTAGGTAATCTATTTCTGGCAAACCTTCCAGTTTGAATTCTTAGAGCATGCGCTGAAATTCTTAATCTAGTGATGTAACATCTTAATGAACTAGGTAAAATATCTAAATATGCTTCGTATCCAAAAACATTTTTAAAGTTTTTATACAAATCTAACACTTCGCTACTTTCCTTATTTACATTCCATCCTTGTATAAAACAATCTATCACTCTCTCCTTAAATATATATACAAAATTTTTATCAATAATCGCATGGATTGTCCCAAACATATGTAAATCCGAAGTCACATAATAGAGCTTTAACATTGGTCACCCAGTTTTTAAAACCTTTGTTACAATGTTCCAATGACATTACATAAACACGATTTAATATAATATTGTCACTATTATTATTCTTAACCAATATTTTATCATGGCTACATAACGCTAATATACAATGGGTATCTGCCCAATTCACCGTACACACCAACAGAACAAGTACTATTTCTAACCTTTAATAAATGTTTTGCAAAATTTCAGATGGATTCGTTCAATAACTTTTGACTTTGTATAACCCCCAAATTTCTGCTGCGTAGTTTAATATCGAACCACAACAAATGCATCGAATAATTGACATAAAAACTTTAGGCCTTAACTTAATCTTTTTACAATTAATCATTAATAAATTCAAATGCTTTAAGAGCCTTTCCAGTGAGATATTCCTGATTTAGCGTAAAAATTCCAGTATAATGAAAAACAGTTCCTAAATAGTTAAAATCGTTCACTACCTCTAGTTGTTTCCCATTATATGTCCAATGTTCATTTAACAATAAACCCCCTCTTTTTCTAAATACCATAATTTTAGTTTTTTCAGTATTAACTTCTAATCCCCATTTACTACAATAATCATACAATAGGGTTTAAATTTTCTGCAATTCCTCCTTTGACTTTCCTAAAATTACCATATCATCTGCAAATAATAACAAAATTAATACAATATCATCAATGACTAAACCAGAATCTACATCATCTTGCAAAAAAAGCTCTAAATCTTCTACGAAAAGTGAGAACAAAATCCTAGACATTATTCCCCCTTGTTTCAATCCTACAGCATACTCAAAATATTCCGAATAGTTATTACAATTTCTAACACATGACTTAACCTTTTGATACATGTCCCTCACTATTCTTAACAATTTACCCTGAATTCCATTATTATAGAGCTTTAACCATAGTGCACTTCTGTATATAGTATCAAAACATTTTTTCATATCTACAAATACACAATATAATCTCTTATTTTCATTTAAATACTGTTGTACAACATTAAGTAATATAATAAAGCATCAGTCGTAGATCGGCCTTTCTAAAACCAAATTGTGCATCTGATATAATATTATTTTGTTCACAAAATGTTACAATTCTTTTATTCAAAATAGTGGTGAATAATTTCGAAAAAACAACTAACGAGCGTAATACCTCTGTAGTTATTCACGTCATTAATGTCGCCCTTTTTATGTAAAGGGACGATAACTCCTTCGGTCCATTTTTTCCGGAAAAATAACCAGAATCTAAGATGGCATTAAAAATATCACAAACATGTGAAGATAAGATATCAATGCTTTCTATAATGTATTTCATTCATAATATAATCACTACCCATAGCCTTTTTTCTTTTTAAACATTTTACACATTCTAAAATTTCTGCAACAGTAATGCGCTGATTTAATTGATCGAAATCGGCATTTTGAAATATTAAAGTCATATCCGCTACAAAACTCTTCAGCTTCCGGGTTTGTGCATTGCGTAATATCATTGGCCAACTCCGAAAAATAACGTTTGAAATCGTCCGTAGAAATGTTATGTTTATTTTTGTTATTACGCTTAAAAATATTTCCAAAATTGTTTAGCTGTGCATTTTTAATTTGCCGATTTCTATCAACTTTTTATTTTCAGCCGACTTACGTTTTTATTACATAACTCTTTATAATCTTTTTTCAAAAACACAGAATTGTTCTCTACTATAACTAGATTTAAGCCTATTAAAAACACTTAACGCTTCTAGGTATCTCCTTCTAGCAAGTATACAATCATAATCGAACCACTCTGCATGATTAACTATCGGTTATCAGTAAAATACGATGACTTATTGTTAAAATTACATGACTTCGAGAACAATGGGTCCGCTACATCTCTAACAATATTTGTAAATTTGCTCAAAATATCGTTCACTGAATCCCTGCTTGTGATGTTAATATCATGTGTCAATCGATTTAACTCAGGTAATTTAGATATAACTCCTGCTCGAAAAGTATGTTTAAGATTCTCTTTCCATTTGTACCTGACCTCATTTTTTACCTCAGAGACATCAACATAAAAATTACATCTCAATGTAAACAAAAACAGGTGCATGATCGCTATATTCATTGAATGAGTCTATACAAAAATCACACAATAGGGGAAAGTCTTTATCTCTCGCCAACAATAGGTCAATCACGGACGCCCCGTTTTTTGTTAGCAAATGTGTACATACCACAGTTAAAATCATGGCCAATTCTACCGTTACAAATACGGAAACCGCTAGACCGACAAAGATCAAGCAATTTAGTCCCAAAACTGTTACATATATTATCATGTGAGGCCCGGAATAGGTACGTGTCGGGAACATAATCATCATCATCAATATTACTAATATAAGTATCACAAGTTATATAGTCATTTTTTTTACCCACTCTACTATTCCAATCACCTACTAAGTATAAATGCCCTAAATCTTCAAAATCGTGTATATCATTTTGTAAAATATCAAATAAATCAACATTAGCAATATTATACATTGGCGAATCTTCACACCATATATAAACTCCACAAACATATACATCTTTTTCAAAATGAAAATATCTAATGATCTAGTTTTAACCAGACTAAAGTGTCAAAATGAGTCCTGACGATTTCGATTCCGGTGCTAAATGATTCTTGTAATACACTACGACGCCCCCGCTACACCGTCTTGCATTGCGATTTTGACATTTTCTATAAAGTTATGTGCAGTGTAGCCTGAAAGTTCCACATCACTATCCTTGTTTGTCCACGACTCGTATAAAATACAATGTCATTGCCTGAAACTAAATTAACAAAGTCTGGCGACTGCTTCTTTACACTCGTAAGCCCATTAATGTTCCATGAAATTAGCTTAAGTTCACCTTCGTCGAATCCCTAGGAATCCGCACCTACCGCTACCCGCTTCCCGTCTACATATAGCGTGTCATAGGACAGCCATGCCCTCTTATACATAAATACCCCTTACTGCGTAAGTAACGCAGTATAATTACAGTGATTGATACTGCAAAATCATTCGTTAATCGCACATTACATGTAAATAATTAATTAAATATTGAATTTAACTTTTCTTAAGATCTTAATACTTTTTTTCTAAAGATTGAATTTCTTGAAATATTTTACTCATCTGAAGGTGTTCATTTTTAACAATTTTTTTACATTCATGATTGGAATTCAATGTCACGATCAGAAAACTATTTTCGGGGCATATATACGCACCTTTTTTGAAATCATTGCAATAGTGGATTAACAAATATTTATGAATAAATCAAGAAATTTATCTCCAATTCTTGCATTATGAATTATTACATATGTTTTAGTCAGAACTGTCAGGATCCAGGTAAGCAGAACTACATCATCTATAAACAATAGCATACAGTATGCACAGATAATAAAGTCAAACCATTTTATGTCAATTATGCCAAATCAATAATATTCTAGCATCATTGACAAATAAAATAAACCATTGAGGAGAGAGAGGCTCTCCTTGATTCATACCAATATAAACATTAAACAAATCAAAAAATTGACAAAATCGAAGCTTTTTCTTTTACACAAGAGTTAGGGATACGGACAAAAGCCCCCCCCCCCCACGGATGAAGCCCCCCCCCCCGTCTAAAAAATGACAAGGTGGACAAAAGCCCCCCCCCATGAAATTTACACAAAGGACAAAAGCCCCCCCCCACATCAAAAAATACTGGTAGGACAAAAGCCCCCCCCTAATCTTCTGACCCTTGTTGTGTATATGAAAAGCAATGAATTCAGTATCGCATGCATGCATTATTTCATCTGTTATCATATACTTTGTTATCACTTCAATACATTATAAATAAACATTAAAACAATTTATTTTTTTCAATTTATTTAAAAGTTTTTGTGAACCTTGATGAATTTGAGCAGCTGGCGTGTGAAAAAAGATAGTAGTCCATCTGGTTGCTTTTGCTTGATGGACCGGAGGGGGGGGGGCTTTTGTCCTACCTGTATTTTTGATGGGGGGGGGGCTTTTGTCCTATGTGTAAATTTCATGGGGGGGGGGGTTGTCCACTTTGTCATTTTTAGACAGGGGGCTTTCGTCCGGGGGGGGGGGCTTTTGTCCTACACTCCAAGATTAAACATAATAGCTTCCACCATTCTTACATTTTACAGCTTATTATAGATTCTGTTTATTTCATCAAATCCCTATTCATAGTCAATAAATGTGCAGTAGAACTTACATCTTTGTAAAAACCACTTTCTGAATAATTCGCATACTGTGCAATATAAATACACAATCGGCAGTACTATGCCAATCTCTTAACGCAAACTGAAATTATTTGAAATATTCATCTTCCTTGCACCTTTTATTTATGCGATTTCTTAAAGCTAAGATTAAAATTAATATCATATCAATAGTGACTCACATAATGTCAACGTATACATGTATCTTTTATGCATCTATAATAACTTTATATTGTATTTTGTAAATACAAAAAAAATGTATCATGATATCTCTCTATAACATCTTATGTACTTATTACTTAATATCATCATCAATATCAAATGGTAACTTCTTTTATACTGTTATTTTAAATTTCAAAACGTATAAATAAAAAAAACATAATAATATCTGTGGAAACAGCAAATATAGTCTACTGTCAACAAATAAAAACTTTTCTTTAAAGATACCAATCTGTTAAATTCAAATATTATAAAACAAAACATAGCTAGGTAAGTGTTATTTGGTACACAGAAAAGTTGATAAAACAATGCATTTAGTATGTTAACGTGTAGTAGGTCTTCATGACCTGTCAAACAAGTGTATGTTTTATTTGCCGGTGACATATCGTGTCATATTGTCTATACTAATTACAACAATTGTTGAAGCCTGCGGCATTGCTATAATATTGCAGACTAGTCTATAAGGTTTCATGTAAGACGACAAAGAAATATATCTAGATAGAAAGAACCAGAAGAGCAGACGACCATTATGTTTCTGGCAATGTTGGCAGGGACGGTTCCGTTTAACTGTTTGCTGTGAAAAATACATGGTTAAACCACAATATACAATTTTCCTTCCCCTTTTCTCAAACATTTTACACGCCTCTTACTACATGCGTTTCAATTTCTTTCTTACCATGCAAAGTAAATCTTCAACGCCGTCAATAATCCTCAGCTTCGGCGGACAAGTAAAATTCAGAAAGTCCCTTTGTGCTACTTTGCCTTTAATTGTTGTGTCACTTTGTTCGATCTCTTCAATCATACTCAATAAACGTTTGTCAATTTTCACGGCTGCTTTTTTCTGACTGTCAGCCGCTTGATTTCTTTGTATATCTGATACTGAATTATGTTTCCCATCAGATGCTTTGTTCTTTATAATACCATTTTCACCTTCTTTAAGGGAAATTTTAACATTAGCAGAAGGCTTTTCATTTGCGTGTTTCTTCAGTGTGTCCTTTAATGGCACGCGGATAACGGTAAATGCTGTCTCTGGTGTTTTTATCATGATGTTTTTATTTATAAGTATCATGCACATCATAGAAATTGTTGTAAAAATAATGATAAGATAAACACACATCTTTCTCCAGAATGCTGGCGTTCTAAAATGAACCATTTTATCTCGGAATTAAGATCACAGATTAAGATTGCACATCCCAATTATACCTATAGCGTATGCAAGCAAACGTTTTTATTCCGGATAACATATTATCATAACTTCAACAATTCAACAATTAACGATCACTTGCTTAGTTAGCGTCTACAATACACACAGATCCTTCCTTACTCAATTAAGTTATTAACGTGGTTTTCTTTCTTCTTTCATCCATGTGTGAGTAGTTTACATCCAGTATTTATCCAGAATTTATATCCAGTATATAATAGTGTGATGAACGTTGTGTTGTTAACAATGCTGGTTTACGTGTAATACGTTTTTATACATGTCTTACCTACCGTTGTCATCTGTCAAAATCTCACCACGACGTTATTAATAGCTGCTGTGAATTGTTAATTACTTTAACGACTTAATCAAAATACCGTACAGACACATTGAATTGATCTTAAAAACAGACTTCCGACTTGCAAGAATATAAATATCAAAACTGTAAATGCTCTGTTGATGGACCTTTTACAAAATCAATGAGTAATTGTTATTGCATGTTTCATTTCAGACACTGCAGATTTATGCGCAAAACATCTGACTACCTGTCAACGTTTTCACAATCATATGATATATGTTATCTTGTTTAAATATATATTTGTCTTAATGAATGAAATCATTGTTTATAAATTTAATTAAATTCTTTATCTGACGGACAATACTTGTTTATCTGCAACTTGATATAATATACTGTATATATTGCATCGTATATCTTTTAGTACCTCGCAGGATATTGAATAAATGACTAGAGTTGAATAAAATAACTGCAGTGGTGGTATTTCAACCAGGAAATAGGAGGTTCAGTTGTTGTTGTTGTTTCACAATACACGACGCTTCAACCTTATGTGTAACCATATTATAATTAAGTACTACGAAACTTAAGGCTAATAATCCTGTACAACAGATTCTAGAAGACAGATTATAGAAGATAAAATGTCACATAATTCCAATAATATGCAATATTAATGTTTAAATTCCAAGAGTTTTTATATAAACACTGGTGGGAAACGTTTTATGTATAAATGAAGCGTAAAACTCACAGAATCTTATCTGTAAATATGTACAATGTTAGGTTAACTTAATTGGCCAAACACGTTTTATAATTACCTACATATGTAAGACGATAAAACATGGCGAGATGTTGCTTTCAATAAATATACATCTGGCTAGTGCTAAACTTTTTTTAGATGCGAATTATTTGTATTAAGACAGTTAGTGGCATAAAGACTTCTGTAAAGTATATTATCTACAAACACTTATACAATACAGCAAATATCCAATATGTAAATATTTTAGTGTGATGTAAACTTGTACATTCTTAACATCTCAAAATATATGTATCGTTCAGTCTTATTAGTATTACTTCTAAGTTTTATGTCTTCCTTTAAGAATATCGCACAATTACATAGTTCTTTTTCATTTTTAAAGATATGTAACGGTTCGTAGAATTTAAAGACAGTTTACCTAACATAATATTACACATGTATTTTACTCTGAGACTACTATATAGTACGGGCAAATACAAACAAAAATGGTAAATATCATGTTAATTACAAATCAAACATACTCGTTCGTGTCTGTGTTCCCCATTTCTATTTAATCGGTCCATATGAATAGGGAATAGTGAATGAGCAGAAATTCTCCCTTTAGTAATAATAAACAAGTGTATATGTCTTGTAATACTGGATCTAGTTTTATTTTCTTACCCAACATTTGTTTAAACACTGTACTCATCACGTACACTATTTCTACTGATTGCTCTCAAATTATATGTTTGTTTGAAACAATCAATTGGGGCGTCCGTGGCCGAGTGGTTAAGGTCGTTGACTTCAAACCACTTGCCCCTCACCGCTGTGGGTTCGAATCCCGACAGGGACTTTGGATTCTTTCATGTGAGGAAGCTATCCAGCTAGCTTACGGAACGTCGGTGGTTCTACTCAGGTGCCCGTTCGTGCCTGAAATAATGCACGGAAGGGCACCTGAGGTCTTCCTCCACCAGTAAAGCTGGAACGTCTTGATATGACCTATACTGTGTCGATGTGACGTAAACCCCAAAACAAACAAACAAAGAAACAATCAATTATATTAATCTAACAAATAAAGGAATACGCTTTGAATTCAAATTTCATTACCATTTGTAAAACATAAAAGAAAAACCATAGCAATCTAGAGTTTTTTAACGACTCAATTGTTAAACCATTCAAAATGATCTTGAACTGCTAGTTTATAGAAGCTGTTTATGGTATAAGCTTATTAATTCAGGCATTGATGGCAAATTGTTTGTTATTTTACGATCAATGTATGACAGTGTCAAGTTATGTGTAAGTCATATGAATTCTCTATCAGATTTTTTCGAATGTAACTTAGGACTTTTGCAAGGGGAGATAACTTCCCCGATACTATTTTCCATGTTTTTGAATGATATAGAAATGCATCTACAGCAAAGTAGCAGTGCAGGTATTACTCTGGACCAATTATCTATATATTTATTACTGTTTGCGGACGATGCTGTATTGTTTTCTGAAACAAAAGAAGGTTTACAAGATTCACTTAATAATTTAGAAACTTATTGTAAAAAATGGAATCTTAATGTCAATATTGAAAAAACTAAAATTGTTATTTTTTAGAAAGGGTGGTAGAATAAGTGAGTCTTTTAAATGGACATTTGCTGGAAAAGAAATAGAAATTGTTAGTTCATTCAATTATTTAGGGGTTGTTTTTTCAAGTGGGGGTTCGTTTTACAATGCAACAAAAACTTTGGCTGGGAAAGGAATAAAGGCAATGAATTCACTTTTTAATATAACACGTGGTATGAATGTACCTGTAAATATAATGTTTAATTTGTTTGATGCTTACGTATTGTCAGTAATGAATTATGGCTGCGAAGTCTGGGGCTTTTTAAAGGCTGAGAATTTAGAGCGGGTTCATAAAAAATTTTGTAAATGGTTGCTTAATGTAAAACGAACAACAAATACATTATCTCTGTATGCAGAACTGGGCAGATTCCCATTGTACATTAATAGATATGTTCGAATTGTTAAATATTTTTTAAAATTGTATGGTCGAAAAATGGAAAACTGTATAATCAGAACTATTGTTACAGACCAAAGACTAGACGTTTTTCATAATACTGCTACTGTTAATTGGTCGTCGAAAATACGTGTTCTATTACAAAATGCCGGATTTTGTGATGTCTGGGAATTTCCAGAGTCAGTTAATATAGATGTATTTATACCATTGTTTATTAATCGCCTTAGGGATATTTATATGACTAATTGGCATGCTAGTGTTCAGACATGTAGTTCGTTATTTTTGTATAGACATATTAAGTCTATTTTTAATCGTTCTGAATACCTCACTATTGTTGATATTCCTAGATACAGAAATGCTATTGCTAGATTAAGACTAAATTCACACAACCTGCATATTGAAACTGGTCGACATAACAATATTGAAAGAAATCGTCGTTATTGTTTAATTTGCAATTCAAATGATATCGAGGACGAATTCCACTTTGTTTTAGTTTGCCCTTTTTATCATGAAAACAGGAGAAAATATATTCCTAGATTCTACTATACACGTCCAAGTATGTTTAAATTTATAGAACTGCTAAATTCAAAATGTAAAAAGACTCTACATAATCTTGCAATTTATTGTATTAAATGCTTTAGGCAGAGAACTGACCAATTAAATAACTTATAAATCTTTTTTGTTATTATTATAACAACGTCATAATATTCCTATGAAAGATACATGTACTTTAATAACATGCTTACTCAGATCACTCTCAACTGTTGAATTTAGACAAATATTTGTTGTAAAGTTTATTTATAATTTATATGATTTGTGTGTATTATTGTATGTTATGGCGATGAGCTGTATGCTTAAGTCTTTAATAAAATTTCTGTTCTGTTCTGTTTATACATTCAATGAGATGTTTATAATATGGAGGAAAAGCTAAAATGCATGAACTTATACTATCTGTCATTTTAGAAATAAGGAAATCACATCAAAGTTCTTACTATAAGAATATGTTCACAGACTAAAAATCAGATTTTAACACATACAAGGAAGATATGTTCATTCAATAGAGTAATTCAATAAAGAAATGTCATTTTCTGTCTCATTTAACTTTGGCATATATACGCCCACTAATTTACCAACACCATGTTAAACGGTAAATCTTTAAAAGCTTTCAACCGCGGATACATTTATATAATAACGCCTTTACCACACTAATATCAATTCTTTAATAAATTAGAATTAACAAAAGAAAGAAATTTAACCCTGTTGAAATGTCCTTAATATATTATACTTTAAATTTAAGGATAACTTTCATAATGGTCACGACATGGGCAGGTCCATGGTTACGTCAGAGACATTCCTTTGATAACATAATATAGGTTTGAACTGAATTCATCCCCAACATCAAACATTCATGCATGTGTCAATTTCAATTAAAGGGCTTAAGATATCAGTATGTTATCTGTAATTTGTGAATGGAATTAGACCAACAACCATTTCAAATATGTCAAAGCTGCAGTTTAATATCGAAGTTCAGATCAACAGGCAAGTTCAGAATTTTCATACAATTCGCTTAGCTTTGAAATTATTTGTATCCAGTAGTATTGCTGTGCCGTTTTTGGCTAATTTAATTTAGTAAAGCCTTACTTATGAACAGTAACATAACGTAAAACACTTTTAAAGCACAATATTTCTGTATATAGACATCTTTGATAACAAATGAAAAGCCCATTCTATAAAAATACATACATGTATATACATGTAGATCTAATATATTATGTTCTTTTGATATCATTTACCTGCATATATTTAACATATACATTTATAAGAAATTAATAGTACTTCCAAAACACGCATAAGCAGAGAAAAACTTTGACAATACACGTTTACACAAAAAGGTTTTCTTTTCATAAGTAAATATTTTAGAGCAAAAACAACATTTAGTTAATAATAAGTTGACAAAAATCTTCCAGAGTGTGCAATATACAGATGTTCGAGCCTATATCATTTTTGTTTAGTCTATGAATTACACTTTAAATGAATAAACCATTTGAATCAACATAATTATGAAAGTGTGTGAGATTTTTTTTTATCTTCTGTTAACCGAGTTAAGTTATTGAACATACCTATACATAGAACTGCGTGGTGTGGTCTGCTATTTTTATGTCCATCTACGGTCCACATTCTATCGACGGTTTTACCATATAAAAAGGTAAGCCCATTTATTAACGGTCACAACTTTACCCTTTTTCCTCTACCCTATGATAATATACCACAGGACAATGTTCTTGCAACTAATAATATGCTTTGGATTTTATTTTATCCTACCTACATTTGGTAAGTTTTTTTTTTCAGATATGATTTAGTAAGTTGACGTACGCGAAGGAACACTTTACGATATGTGATAATTTCATAATATCTTACAATAGATTATTGATATATTATACGTTCATATAATATAATGTTTACGTAGGTAATGTTTATAAATTTCATTTAGTTACCGCTGATAGAGGAGGCATTCCACATTGGTTGAACAGCGGTCACATTCCACCCGGCCATCAACATAATCACAACTCCGGTCCTTCATCAAACATTTTCAACAGTTGGTCAGGCACGCCGCAAATTGAGATACCGAAGTGGCTTCCCCATGGAAGTTATCCCAAATATGTGGCTTGGTGGGAGGAGTTTCATTCGAATCTACAAGAGTGTGGCAAAAAACAAACTAAGCCAAGAAATCCTCTTCTAAGAGTGATTGGTGGACATATTACAACAATAGATTCATATCCATGGATGGTAAATATTAAATTGTATGAGATCATTTATCGTCGGAACCCATGGGTACTGATTCCGCTGAATTATACGTAACAATACAATTACGCGTGACTTACCGGGGACGGAGGTTATTATACATTGCCGAGTACAATACTGAATTCTATTGGACGAGTACACAGCTGTTTAAACTATATTGGACGAGGCGCTAGCAAAGTCTGGTATAGGTTTTGCAGCTTTGAACGAGTCCATTTGAATCAGTATAGTTCTCAACAATGTATACCTCCTTATTTCACACCACCATTTTTGATTACGTTTGACAAAACTTTATTCTTTAAGTAGAATAACGATTTATTATGGACTTTTGGACTCTGAAAATGTAAGTGAGGCTATTGAGGACGATATGCATTTGATACTCTGAAAATGAATACGCGAATATATAGGGTACGATATACATTTAATATGAACTTTTTGAACACTGGAAATGAAATCGAGGCAGATTTGAAACATCGCATGGTGCAACAGCTGATAAATTATTGGCTTTATCTTATAAGATGTGAAATAATATAATATAGTGTACAAATGTCTATGTATGTTTTACATTAAATAGTATGATATATATGTTATGTATTAAAAAAAAAATAGATTTTAAGATATATATGATATAGATCTACTGATATATAATATAGATCTACTGCTTTGGCATCAACCTGAAAATCTTTAACATTTTGTTCAAAAAATAAAAAGAACCCCAACTAATTCTTTACAATGTCTTCTTCTTGAAATTACACAATGCTATACATACAATTATTTAAAAATGTTAAAGACCACCTTTGTATTTATCGCGCTTTGTAAGCAATATAGTTTAACTATTTTATGTTCACGTGTTGTATATCGTTTTACATATATTCTACCACATTCGTAGCTGTTTTTTATTCAACAAAAAAGATTATTGTAAAAATATGTTTACATGTGTAAATGTATTGAAACATAAATCAATCGTGTTTATATTTTTTATTTCTTTCTATAATAAAGGTTTCCATGTACTCAGATCTGATAAAGCAGCCATGGTGCGGTGGGACGTTAATTTCTTCAGAATGGGTTGTCACAGCGGCACACTGCTTCAGACCGTATGACACTTTATTTTGTGTTCTGTATTCTTATCATATATATTTACAGATATATTCAGATATCGACAACCAGACAGTTTCAAAATAACTTGCAAAATAGTACCTCGAACCTGTTATTTAAAGCATTTGGCTGCATTCATTTTGTATGTAAATTATAGATTATTAATGTGCAATTTCATATATATGTATAGTATAAACCTTTGCTTCCACGTACTTTATTTACGTAAAATTAAGTAAGAAATGTAAATGTATATAAAAACGCAAATGTATAATATCCATTTTAAATATTGTAGGCCATTCAACCAGCCTTCAACATGGACAATGCACATGGGCAAGAACAATGCATCTGGTTTTGCCGAATATATTGACGAACAAGTTCGGGGTATTTCGGAACTTAAAATACACACAGGCTTTAACTTCTCCAGAAACGATTTCAGATTTGATAATGACATAGCATTAATAAAGTTAGACCAAGAAGTTATATTCAACAGTCATACTTCACCATTGTGTCTTGTCAAAAGCACTGATCGCATGGAAGATCTTCTGAAGCCTGAAACTAGATGTTCAATAACTGGATATGGAATTTCGGACATGGGTAATGGTAAGTTAAGAAATTTGACACTGCGTTTCATTGAGCTCTGTGTGAAGAAACATAAACAACATTATATGAGGGTTTTTTAGTGGAGAAATATGTTAAACAACAAAAATATATGCGTCGGCCGGGAATCGAACCCGGATCGACTGCTTGGAAGGCAACCATGCTAACCTTTACACCACCGACGCACCTATTAATAGGCAGATATACGTTTTTGTCAGATTTGTATTTTGTCAAGCAACAGTAATAAGACAGTGCTTAAGGGCATATGTTTACATTCAGTTGTCTAGTCAATAATTGATCATTTGACCCGTTTCAAATTTGGATTACTTTTACATGTCAAGAGATGGATAACTTATTCAAAACAGTTTATATGCGAAAATGACGGCATTAACATATTTATTTCTCTGATAAAATTCAAATGATTGCATGGCCATTTGACATAAGAGCTGCTAATAATTATATCAGCGGCACATTTCATACAATTTATAAATTATTAATAACATTGATTTACTGACAGAGACCAGCTTGAGATTTAAATGACACAGCACCAAAGAACATTTTTTTACTTTAAAAATAGTAAAGAATATTTATTTGATAATGTAATAGCATTACATTTTTAGATAAGCCATCCTGATTTGTGAATATGCATAATTAGCAAACCAATGATAACTAGAGGTTACTGTAATACTTGGTTGCTCCTTAATTATAGCCTGAAGATATGAGCCGCGTCACGACAAAACAAACATAGTGCGTTTGCGACCAGCATGGATCCAGACCAGCCTGCTGTTCGCTATCAGTTTCTCTACTTGTAATAGGGTTGGTAAGCGAACAGCATGGATCCTGATCAGACTGCGCGGATGCGCAGGCTGGTCTGGATCCATGCCGGTCGCATTCGCACTATGTTGGTTTTGTCATGGCGCGGCTCATAATTTATTATGTTCATAATGGCCATGGCAGTATTAACTTCTTTAATGTCGGATCTGCAATAATATAAAAATAAAATGATAGTATAAAAACGTGGCGAATCATACTTCTCAACGTAATCGTGCTAAAGTTTACATCACTCTTTGGAAAACAACTCTGCGTCATATCCAGTCTTGGAGAAACTATCGGGAAAAATATTTTTATGCATTGTAATCTCGTATTTATTTGTATACTTTTTAGAAATAAAAATAGGGTCTAAACCAGAACTAACTAATTTAAAATATTATGCAATTTAAACATTTAATGTAAATCGTGGTCTGTTAGCAACATATCTTTTACATGTTCACATCGGGTATCATATTTTAAATTGACATAAAATACATCGGTCCGTTATTTACCGCGGTGTTTGTTTCGGTCATAGATCTGCACAGACAGATTTTGGCATTTAAAACTGCAAAGTTCCTGCGTTAATTTAACATTCCTGTCTTGTATTATTTTCAAATTGTCGAACTTTCTTTATTAACATTTGAACGTGTTCTGCTCGGTGGTCTGTTTCGTTTACCAGGTAAACTGTACGGAGAACTGGTAAAGATATCTAAAATGGCGAACGAAAAAACATCACAAGATATTAAAGGACTCCACTGAGGTTTAAAAGCCTGAAAACATAACATTTGAATTTCTTACATGAATGAGCAGGGGGACTTAAAACAGAAATATATGCAAAGGTAGTAAAGAAATATACTTTGAAATAAATTGAAATCGTACTTTAATGCCTTTCTTAACCCGATTTGAGTGAAAAGCGTTTAAACGCTTTTCATTTTGTGTCATTTTTTTTTACAATTTGAATAATTATTCTGGATAAACGAAGTGCGCGAATGATTTGAAATTTTGCACAAAGATTAGTGTTCTACACCTATATCAAATGGTACATTTATCTGGAAAATATTTTCAGTCCCATCATGTCAAAAAACCTCAGTGGAGTCCCTTAAAACCGTTTTATTACTGTTTTATTCCTATCCTCGTAATCGACAGTTATTGAAGGTAAAAGGAAATATTTCAAAATGCATGCATTTGCTTTGTTGACTCATTGATACTAGATTGAAGAAAATAACCATTTCCTATGTACATGATTAGAATAGCATTTCATCTATCTAAAATAGCACGTGATAGAATAAAATCGTTTGTTATAAGCAGAATAGCAATCCCTTCGTCCGAAAGGAAATCGAGCTGTTTGGTTCAAAGTCCAAATTATTTTCTCTAAATATCAAAAAGGCAACAACCAGGATATTTCTTCTTGGACAGAAATAAAATACATAAAGAAACGGTTTCATCCCTTTTCTGTCCGCTATTTCGGATGAATCTGACAATTCATGGGAAGTTTTGGTCACATAACGATCATGACAGTGAAGTTATATCCAATAAATTTATGTTGTGTTTTATTAAGCCCGCCGGGAAGAGAACGCGCTTCATGTTGCCGATGTTCCACTGGTCGACAAGGAAACGTGTTTACGTGTAAAAGATTACAAAAACCAAGTATCAGATAATATGATATGTGCAGGACTAGAAGATGGTGGAGTTGACACGTGTCTTGTAAGTTGTCATCGATTTCCTGTTTCAAGAGCAAACCTTCTGGCAAATATATATTTGTTTTATTATTTAACGTCCTGTAAGCAGGTATAAATATCCATAAAAGATTTTACCTTACTTCTATTGCAGCATTTTTACATTTAAACAGCCGCATAAGTAAGAGTATATGCTGCTCGTGAAAGTGTATCATAAAGCAAACTAAATTATTTGATTGTTGACACTTATGTAAGTGATTCGATTTAATTTAAGTTCAGTAAAGTACCATTCGTATATACCATTTTGCAAATTGTATTCAGTTAAAACATGTTTGAGAAATAGAGAACAATTTTTACACCACAGGGGGACAGTGGAGGGCCTTTGCAGTGTCAGATAAACAACAAATGGTATCAAGTTGGTAAGATACTTAGATCTACCCTTCTCTCCAATCCCATGAGTAACTCTTTATGAATTTAACACATTGCTAAATCACTTTTACATTTATATCTATGGTAGTAAAAATAGTACAATATACAACTACATACATTGGAATGTTGGAAGCTTTATGGAATAAGTTTAACTAAATAATTTATGACCGTTTAGATTTTTATATCAAGGAGAAATGACTGAAATGTATGTTTTATATATCCAGGTATCACTAGTTGGGGTCCTGTGAGATGCGCGGAACCTAGAAAGCCCGGGGTCTACACTGATATATCAAAATATACCGAGTGGATCTACAGAGAAATATTCAATGATTACAAAGGAAACCATGTTGACAACAACGGTTTAATAGACATCACGAAATAAAGCAAATTTTGTCCAAGCTAATTCCGCGTCCTTGGAAAACACGACAAGGTGTACCACAATAAAGACGTTACAAACTGAATTGAAACCATATAGATATAGGAATGATGAACTATTTCACAAAATGTTGTTAGTTTGTTCATCTGTTATTAAAGCAATCGACAAGCATTTTAAAAATTCCTTCGTTTAATTATTGTCCTACAAATAATGTAAGTAAACCCAACACGCTTCAATGTCGACTGTCTAAACACTGACATACCTTTAACAATATCCGTGCAATCTGATAAGTATAAGATTAACTGTTGACTGCTTTAAATTTCCAGCATATTATATTGATATTCAAATCCATTTAATATAATTATGGTAGTTCAAAATTCAAAGCGTTGCAGATGTTACACAATTTAAAATCTATTTAAATTTGCATAGTTTAATAAAGTGATCAAGAACAAAACATAATTAGTTATCAAGTTTGAACAATTACTAGTACCATATTACTGACATATATATAACTGTTTCCACTATACATATAATTATACACATATAAGAATGTTATTGTAAATACATTCAAAATAATACAGAATTTAGGTAATTTGGTGGAATGATTTAAAAAAAATTTCGGCATAAACTTTCATATAGTTGATGAGCGTATATCAATAAGGATATTCGCGATAAATGTGATAATCTGAGGGCAGATTAACTAGATATCAAACTTTAACTGAAAATGGTATATTACTAATGAACCTATGTGCGACAAAAATAAAGAACGTTATTGTAAATACATTCCAAATAGTACATAAAAACACCCTGATTGGTAGACCTAACAAGAAAAGAACTGTTCTTGATAAATATTTAATTTGAGATTTTGCAAAAGAGAGTGTGCGTCAGCCGGGAATCGAACCCGGATCGACTGCTTGGAAGGCAACCATGCTAACCTTTACACCACCGACGCATGTCATACAAATGCAAAGCCCGTTTCAAAATGTTTGCATTTAAAATTTTCTTTAAATAATCAAGACATTTTGTAGACATTGGGCAATATTATGGAATGATTTGAAAAAAAACTTTCGGCTTAAACTTTTAAACAGTTATTTGAAAATAACTGTGTATCAACAAGGATATTCGTGGTTAACGTGATATTCGGAGGCAAATTAACCAGATATCAATTTTTAACTGAAAAAAATATATTACTTATTAATCTATGTGCGACAAAAATTAAGAATGTAAGGGAAAATACATTCAAAATAGTACAGAAACACTTCCTGATTGGTAGACCTAACAAGAAAAGAACTGTTCTTGATAAATATTTAATTTGAGATTTTGCAAAAGAGAGTGTGCGTCAGCCGGGAATCGAACCCGGATCGACTGCTTGGAAGGCAACCATGCTAACCTTTACACCACCGACGCATGTCATACAAATGCAAAGCCCGTTTCAAAATGTTTGCATTTCAACATTTCTTTAAATAATCAAGACTTTTGTAGATATTGGGCAAGTTGATGGAATGATTTGAAAAAAACTTACGGCTGCAACTTTAAATTGTTTATTGAAAATAAATGTGAATCAAAATGGATGTTTGCGGTAAACATTATATTTGGAGGCAAATTAACCAGATATCAATTTTTAACTGAAAACTAGAAATGTGTCCATAGGACACGGATGCCCCCACACGCCACTGTTCTGTCAATCTTATGACTCTAGGTCAAATATTTTTTGGACTACATGTGCCACAAGTTGAAAACTAAAAATCAACAAAGGGCCATAATTCTGTTAAATTTGGTCGCAGCAAAAATTCCTTCCTTTACTACCATCTACACATTAAGATTGTTCATCCCTGGAAGGTTAAGCAAAATCTGCCATCCGGTTTAAGAGGACTTGCGTTCACAAAATTTCTACATAGTATATAGTGAAAAAATCAACAAAGGGCCATAATTCTGTTAAATTTGGTCGCAGCAAAAATTCCTTCCTTTACTACCATCTACACATTAAGGTTGTTCATCACTGGAAGTTTAAGCAAGATCTGCCATCCGGTTTAAGAGGAGTTGCGTTCACAAGATTTTGGGACGTACGGACGGACGGACGGACGTACGGACGGACGGACGGACAATCGGACGGACAAGTGCAACGCTATATGCTCCCACTCTGTGGGGGCATAATGATAAATTTCTAATTAATCTATGTGCGACAAAATTAACGGAAACACTTCCTGATTGGTAGACCTAACAAGAAAAGAACTGTTCTTGATAAATATTTAATTCGAAATTTTGCAAAAGATAA